TATGTTGTCACATGCTTGTCTCATTTCGTATGCTGTTGCACGCCTTCGCATGACTTGCATGCTTGTATGTTCATGTTGCATTTTATCATGTGATTCAAAGTTGTTACCTCACATCATGCTTATATGCTTATTGCATGCTTGATTTATTGCATTACATGTTTGCATGCTTGTTGCGTCGCATGTTTGCCATGCTTGTTTTGCATTGTCGTTTGGATGTGTTAATCCGAGCACGAGGAACGAGGAACGTTTCATACTTCAAGTGATGAAACGTGTCTCAATTCTCGGTTGCCGATGCTCTTGATCACACATGATAGAGTTTTAGGCTTCATGTGTTTATTTGTGCATTTATTTTCATATTGATTTGCACAAGTTGGATCTTCGGCCATCATGCATCAGGATGCGTGATTGATGGTCTTGGATCCGATTATGCCTCTCCCTTGATGTTTCGAGGTGATATGGGGTGGCATAGTGCGTACATACCCTTGGGAGACCCTCCCTTTTCTCTATTTTGTGCTCTGCTGCAACTTGGTGTCCCAGCACGTCAGTGGCCGGCAGTGCCCTACAGATGGCCGGAACCTCCTCATCCTTGGCCGGCAGTGTACCATCTTTGGCCGGCAGGTGGTCGGCAGTAGCTCCCCATGGCCGACAGGCCACTGATGCACTCCCCCAGACTGGTTTTGGTAAGGTTCAGTAGGAATTCTTTGAGGACACCCTGCAGACAGAGCCTCTAAAGAGCAACCGGAAGGCGTTTCGAGACGAGAAACCGAGCGCGAGCATGCATACCCTTCTGCTTCTATGAACAGAGCTAGAGCAGCATTAGTTGTCGCTTTTCATTTGTAATTAATTAATTTGTTAATTAATTAAGTTTTGTAATAATTAGTTGTAGTTAGTTATTTATTTTTTAGTTATGTAATAATTAATTAGCTTGTTAGTTAGTTAATAAGTTGGCATATATTATTCATTCGGACCCTCCGTCGAGAGAGTGAATTTTGTAATAAGTGTGTGTGCGTGTATGCATGTCTTCCAACCTCACGTCTTTCTCCTTTTTACTTACCTGCTTTTGATGGTTGGTCATTTTCAATTAGCATACTTATGCTTACATGTTTGCATCATTCATCTACATTGCATGCATCAGGCTTGGCGCATCATACTAACTGCATTGTATTTCAAATTCCAAATTGAATACATGTATCAATTATCGCATCTCATATGCCATCTTAGAATAGCCGAGCCTATTTCTAGTTGCATTTTTGCATGTGTTGCATTAGCCATCTTAACATAAACTAGGATCATGCATTGATTACTAACTAGTTTCTGTTTTGGCTCGGAGTACACTGTAAGCAAGGTTCTGAAAAGCGGTTGCGGTCGCCGTAACGGTAGCGGTGACGCGGTTGCGGTTGCGGGGTGTAAAGGCCGTAGTGTAACAGTTGCGGTAACCGGAACCGTGAATTTTTTTATTTTTCGCACAATTTGAAAAAAAACTTACCGATACGCATATTTTTTTTCCGTGATCATATTTATTGGGTTAAAAATAAATATTAATAAATTTTTGTAAATTTTTAAGTATGATCCAATATATTTCATATTTTTAAATCACTATAAACTGAGTTTTTTACATTTTATTTTAATAATTAATGACTTTATATTATGCAAAAAATCAATCACTAACTATTATATATAAGATAAACAATGACAAAAGTAAGAGAATAAATAAGAGCCTAAATATATATATATATATATATATACATATTTTAACCAAGCCAAATAGATAATGAACACACTTATTATTATTATTATTTTCAAACAATATATAGATAGACACACAAACAAAATGGTTTAGTGATAGCAGCTGATTAGAATAGCATAGGTCTTACAGTTTCAACAAATCAATAACATGTTTTTCATCTTCCCTCTTTTCTCTCTACCTCTTGCTCCTCAATTTTCTCTCTTTATCTTCCCTCTTCTCTCTATTCCTCTTCCCCCATTTTCAGCTTTTTTTTGTGTGTTTTTTCGGAAGAAACAGTTTGGAACCGTTACGTAACGGTGCGTAACAGGCCGTTATGGCTGTTACGGCACCGTTACGGCCGCTACGGGAGCCGCTACGGCCGACACGCCTGTGAATCTCAATCACACTGCAAAAGCGGCCGTAACGGGTGGCGGTAACCGCCAAAACCGTTACGTAACGGCGTTACGTAACGGTTGCGGCCGCTTTTTAAAACCTTGACTGTAAGTGTTTACGCTTTAGCATACTGCATGTGTTATTGATTACCATGAAAGCATGCTTGCCATGAGGCTATTTGCTTATATGATATAAACTTCTTGAATGCCTGTGGTGAAGGTTGGATTGCCTGAATTGGAACAATTCATTAAAATCCTCGATTTAGCCTACTTGCGAGTAGCAAACTTCAAACCGTTTTTCAAAACAAACAAGTATGCAGTGTTTCGTTCCAAATTAGGCGATCTAGTCTATACTTGTGTGTTGTGCGCATCACATAGTAATTCTAGGTTTAATAATCGGAATAAGAACGCATGTGTTTTCAAAAACAAGATATTATGCTTAGTACAGACCGATCTTTGATCGAGTGAGCAGGGGTGCTCATAGATGACCTTCCCCAATGGTACCCAAGTTCCCGAGCCGAGACAACTTTGGTGATGACGGACACGTGGCCTTAGGCACGAGTCAGAATTTCCCAAATTCTCCCAAAATAAAATATTTAGGTGGCGACTCTGTATCAGACAAAACAGTCCATGTTTGGCACTTCTTTCTTAAAAATCAGTTTTCCAAAATGATTTGCCGAATTTAGACTCTTTGGTGATTTATCAATCTCACATCGCACATTGTGAAATCAGATTAAGAACCATGACATTTGAGTCCGAACTGTAGGCATGAGGCCCCCAAGGGCACGTCTACACGCGCGGAGCGGATTTTCGGGCGGTCTACAGGTGCATGTGTCTTAGATTTCATTTTTCATGCTACATGTTCTTAAAATCTCCAATTTATATCTATTCATATTTTCATCTCATGCTGCAAGATAATTGTAACAACCCTCGCTTCATCTTGGTCGTGCTCACATGCATACACATGAATTTGTTTTGTTAAGTTGCATTTACAGACCTTAATTTGTTTTGTCAGAGTGTTGCTTGCACGTTTTGTTTCTCGCTTGGTGTGTGTTAAGCCAAGGTCATCTTAAGCTTAGGTCACACCTTCGAACCTCTTAAACCTAAGGCCATCTTGGAACCACTTTGGTTGACCTCCATCTTCACCCTAGCGTCTTGGCCGAGATGTCATCATCTAGGCCGAGATGCTATCAGCTAGGCATGCGACATCCTTGAACCTTGCACCTAGTGACCTGGTACTGGGACTGGAATGACCTAGACTGAGGTGTGGCACAGCTGGGCCAAGTGTTATCCTTCCTGGCCGAGATCATTGAGACCTTACTTGCCGAAGCCTTTGTCCTAACCCGAGATCATTACCTGCCGGAGTGCCCATGTCACCCTGCTTGTTGTATACAGTTTGTCATGCTCTTGTCTTGTCAGTCAGTCACCTTTTGAGGAGAGCCAACCAGCCGTTGCCACGTGTCCCAACAGAAGGTTAAGTCAGCCGGCAGTAGAGAAAACATATCATTTGTTGTATCTTTGTCCTAGGAAGAGAGAAGCTCTAGGAAGAGGAAGAAGGAGTTCTTTAAAGAGAAGTAGATTTCCAAGCTTAACCCTTAGAGTCTAAACCGTTTGATCCGTGTTTTGAGGTTAGATTCTTGATTTGCTCTTGTTGTTCTACATGTTCATCTAATCACATTGCATGATCTAGCATTATTCATGAGCCATGCATTGATGTAAAGCTTGTTATAGAAAGAGAAAATGATATTTTTGTGTTCTTGAAATAAAACCATGTTTTGATCCGGAAGTTTGTATCAAGATCCATGTTTTCGTGTTTGTTTTCATGAAACCTCCAAGTATGGGTACCCAGGTCCATGTTTTCGGACTCATCTCATGAAATCTCAGATTTTGTAATAACAAGTTAAGATTTTAGCATTCATGTTCTTTATGTTCTTCATGTTCATGTTCTTCATGTTCCTCGAAAGGAAACCCAGATTTTCCCGACTTCATTTCCTTAAATGTGGTCATCGGGACCACACCTCAGCCAAGAGGTGTGGGACCTCGGACAAGACCTGGTTGGTGCCCAGCATGTTTTCCCGAGATGAGAAACAGTGATTTAACTCCCAGCACATATTTTGCATTGTCTTGACTTAGTTTTTAAAGAAATGCCGAGATCATTTACACTCATGTAAAGCTTCTTTTAGGAATGCATTTCATATCCATCTTTGTGCATCCCTTCTTGTCTTCTTGAAATGCATTCAATGGGATTTATTATGTGCTTGTAGGCCTTAGATCCTTGCTTGTAATCCCCACACCCGAAGAGCTATGTGAGTGGTATTTTTAATAAAACTATGTTATAAAGTTTTGATAAAACTTTGCTTTACTTTAGAAAAGTATTTGTCCAAGCATGAATGACTATCCCTAGTTTTGTATCAAGTATTATAATTGTTTTGATGACATTCTTCGAAAGTCCTTGGTGTTAGGGGATTATAATGCAATTAGTACCCTTGTTTTGAAAGTCCTTAGTGCTAGGGAACTATAATGCAACTAGCACCCTTGTTTGAGATATCTCCCTTGTCTTGCCACCGACGGTTTACCGCGTGAGTTTGTCCGGAATGTCATCTCTTGTATTATATTGATGCTAGTAAGCATCCCTTAAAGCTTTGAAAGATTTGATAGATGAACTTGGTTCATCTCTTGCTTTGTACAAGCTATGATATGTATTGTTTTGATAAAGATCTCAGATATCATTCATTTTAAACCTTTATTTCTAATATCATTCACTGAGTATCCAAGCTCACCCTCTCCATATATACATGTAGGTGACGAGCAAGAAGGCGGTGACGCCTAAATGATTATTTGCAAGTTGTTTGGATTCATATTTTGTAGCATCTTGAAGATTATGCTTCTTGGTTTGGTCATTGTAGTTCATTTTGTATATGTTAGCTCGAGAAGCCTTTTGATCAAGATGTAATATGTGTTTATTTTATTTGTACTCAAGTGGTAAAACCATGTTATGTATGACATTTCATTTGATCTATGCACAGCTCTTGTGGACTATTTAGATTTAAATTTATTGCTTCCGCACATGTGAGCCCCATATGTATACTCTGATTGTGTGTGACTTTGTAAGTTGGCCTTTGGTAAATCTCGGATTACTGGCCATCATGGCACCATTCTACTAGGAGCGGAATGGGGTCGTGACAATAATATTGTCATATGTCTATTACTTTTTTCATATGCTCTTGTGGCACTAATAGTTATTTGAGAGATTGTAGCACTGCTAGCTGTTTTGCAGATCATGATCTTGAGAAAAAAGTTTGCTTTTGTTGGCTGTAATGGGTTGGAGTGGTTAGGATTTTATTTGTTAGGTGTGTTTTGTCACGACATTGCGAAAAGGGGAGATTATTAGGTTTTTATTGTTGGCAATCTCGTTTGACAAAACTCCTTTCAGTTGTACTTGTTTTCGCTCTTTTATTTCAGTGAGACTGTGAGTTTTTAGATGCGAATCCAAATTGAATTGTGCCTTGCAGAGAAGTTTGTGGTGCTAATTCTTTCATGATTGCCACTTCACTGTCCCAATCAATCCGAATCCACGCTCAATTCCCGTCATAGTCAGCGAAGTGGCAATCATGAAAGAATTAGCACCACAAACTTTTCTGAAGACATAATTCAAGTTGGATTCGCATCTAAAAACTCATAACCTCACTGAAATAAAATAGCGAAAACAAGTACAACTGAAAGGAATTTTGTCAAACAGGATTGCCAAGAATAAAAACTTACACTTCAGGACTATGCAAGTTCCTTCTAATGTGTCTTGGACAGTGAGGAAACTTTTCAGTTTAAGAAGAGAAGTTATGCCCCTAATTAAGAAAGTAATTGGCAATGGAGAATCCACCTTCCTTTGGCTTGAGAATTGGCACTCTTTGGGACCATTGTACCAGAGATTTGGGGGGACTTGAAAGGAATCAGAAATCTGAATGCTAGAGTGGTAACTGGAACTGGCCTATTAGAAGGAATGAAATTCTATTGAGTATTATTGACAGTATTCTTAACAACATAATACCTATCATCGGACAAGGGGTATGATGTGAGATGGATAACTAAGAAGAATAGCAACTTCACAATACACTCAACATGGAATGTAATCAGAATCAAACAACCACCTACTTCTTGGGATCAAATGATATGGTTCAATGGCAATGTATCCAAATGTTCTTTTATTTTATGGTTGAGTGGTAAGGGCAGACTTGCAACTCTGGACAGACTCTACAAATGAGGGCTAATTGAAGTGAAGACTCACCAACTCTGTGGGTAGGGTGATGAGAGTCATTCACATCTATTCTTTGAACGCGAGTTTTCTAATGGTATATGGAAGTCCATGATAGATTTGCTCCAGTGCAATAGAGATCCACTAGACTTGGAGTAGGAATTCACATGGGCCGGACAAAATGCTGCAAGAAAATGTTTCAGGTTTAGGCTATACAATCTAGTAGTATCAACTGCAGTTTATAGCATTTGGACAGAAAGGAACTCAAGACTATTTTTACATAAGGCTAAACATGAAAAATTCTTGAAGGTATTGGATTTAGGATTGCAACTTGGGAAAAGATCAATGACAATGCAATGAATAGGAGTTTGATCTATGTTTCTCTCTAAATAAGAAAATGATAAAGTAGGAATATCATGTTCTAAGTCTCAGCTATTGCAGTGTGTTAAATATGGGGTATGACTCATGATTGTTTATATTTTTGGTGTTAAATTCACCAAAAGAATTGAGAACATGGGGAATGCCTCTAGAAAAAGAATTCACCAAAAAAATTCAGAACTATATATAAGAAAAAGAATTATAAAAAAATTAAAAGAAAAAGAATACAAATTAGAAAAAAGAATTGTACTAAGAAGACGGAAAATTCAAAATGAAAATCACCACCCTGCATAACCAAATGTTGAAGGCAAGGAAGCAACAAATCAAGAAAACAAAACAAAATTAATCAAAATACAACCTTCGGTAAAACAGTTAGTATTAAGCATAAATAACATACTTCAATACAAGTATCCATCAATCAAAAAAGAAATATATATATATATATATAATGCTTCTAAACCATTCAACTACAATAAAAATTTAATCCACAATTGCGGAAAGTATTTGTTTCCTCAAACACCCTAAACTACAAATGGGAGATAAAGCTTACCCTTGACGCAGCAAACCAATGGTGGCAGAGTGCATTCAGCAGTGGCTTCCATTGACTTCAACCTATAATGCCTCTGATATACCTACAAAAGCAATTATGAAAATGAGGCTAGAAGCTCAATAAACCATGATAAATTAGTTGTTTGAGAAAGTCATGGGAAGAAAAAAGTGGTAGCAATAATAATTCATCATCAAACTAATCTAATAGAATACAGTGTAAAAAATACATTTCTAATAAAACCCAAGTGACAAAACAAAGATTTGTCATAAACCCAAGTGTAATCACCAAATGAATTGTCCTAAACATTAGAGTTAGAAAATAATCCAAAAGTAACATAACCAATAGGTGACTTGATCAGCATATAGCATTTTTAATTCTTTATCATTTCAAAATAAACATTTTTGGGTCAGACATTTGAACAAACGGTTCAAACACTATTTGGTTACTTGAAATTGTAAAGCTAGATCAAAGAGTAACGTAACCAATAGGTGTACCATGTAGTGGTTACCTTAAATAGAATGAGACCCAACAAGCTCCCAAGAGTTATGCTCTTCTCATGGAAGAATGACCCTATTGACTGAAAACCAATCATAGTGTAATCAATACCAGAAATTCATCTTAAGCAACCACTTTTATATTACTAATTAATTTGCACATTCATATTTTAAAATTTCCTTGTTTCGAGATTTTAATAATAACATATTGCATATAGAGTGCATTGGTGGTAGCATATGATAAATAAAGCAAATGAATACACATACAATAAGTTCAAGCAATTAGGAATAAATATGATAATCAAAGGTACATAAATCAAAACTAAAAAGAGCATGCAATTTGCGTTTAGTGCAAGTACAATGTATGTAACACATATCACAAGTAGTACATGCATTGGACACATGTTACACTTGCCCCAAACATAATTTTTCCACTAATATATAATTTTTTGTTCCTTCTATTTTTTGCAATTTTTCCATTTTTTTTTTTTTTTTTACTGACCTCTATATCCAAATCTAATGTAGAATCAGAAAAGGAAGTAGGAGGAGAAGCACTGAGAAAAGTGTGGAAAGATGCTGATCCAAAAAAACCCACTATTTCTGACCAAACCACCAACTCTCTCATTTCGTGGCTGCAGCAAACCCAATGGCCATCCCTCTTCCAATCAAATCAGTCTCATCTCAATTTCATTGGTTTCAATTTCAAACTCAACAACAACAAAAGCGTCATAAAACAAAGTAAATTATCACAAAAAAATAGAGTTACCAACAAAACAATTTTGAGTCAGAAAAACAAGTATAGCCATAGCAACTTCCAAGTATTCTCAGATTTCAAATAGAGAAATAGAGAGTTGTCATTTCCATAGTATTCTCTCTACTGCTAAACAGCGAGAGTGCTGAGAAGATGAACATGTAGTAAGTAAAAAGGATCAAAATCAAAAGAGAAGCAGAGCAACTATTATAATGGAATTAGGAAAAACAAATCAAAAAAGAGTAAAGGATTGTAAGACGATGGCAACAGAGATGCGAATGGGCTTCCATAAGTCTATGCCTGCAGTGGATAGCCTCCTTCAGGGGCGGCAGCATGAAAATACAACTCAAGTCCCAAAATGTAACCACATATAAGTCAATAACCAACTCAATCAAATACCACTTCTTCAACTAATGAATTCCCATTCTTCAAACTTGCTTTTCAATCGAGTTCAGCAGCTCGTTTCTCCAAAGATATCAACTATAAAACCATAATTAGATTTACCTAGTTAGCAAAAGCAATTAGAAAATAAGAATAATTACATAATCCAAAAACCCAAGAGATTACCGTGACTTAATTTGAAGTTCTAGTAATTGGAGTTGATATGAAATTCAAGCCATGAACACCAATTCAATCTATAACCATAACGACTATAAACGCGATATATCATTGTCCATCTTTGTACTCATACATTTTTTATTTTTTTTTGTAATTATATATGAAGGGCCTTATGTTAATTAAGACTTTGCCTGGGAACAAACAACTTAAAACCATCATAACTTTTTAGAGAAACACTACTATTGACACACTTGAAAGAGTGCAGTATATTGTGTCATTTCATAATTATATCACAAAAAATTGTAATATAAATAATAAAATGGCATTATTTTTTTTAAATACAAAGAAGTATTAACTTTTTTTAATCACCACAAAAAGGTGAAACATAAATCATTATTCATAATATAACTGAAAAGGGTCATAATTAATAATGTTCTTGTGATTTGTGATTCATAATTACACAACAATAATTTTTAACTAATACCACAAAAATTTATAACTTCCATTACGAAAATTCTTAATTTTCTTATGATAAAAGGATGTGCATAATAGTATTTTTCATTATTTTAATATGAGATTTTATTCAATTCTCTGTACCTAACCAAAATCACATATATATATAGATATATATATCTGTATATTTGAGAATATAAACATACCATCAAAGTCAACACCACACATATGTATCAGCAAGACTATAAACTCAGAATTATCTACCCAGAATTTATCCAAAAATAAAAATTAATGGTTCAAATTTATTTCACTTATGAAACCCACACTTTATCAATTTAATCTTCACCATACATAACTATTCTGAGCAAATTCTGAATCTCAAATTCTGGGATCTAGCTTTTTTGTATATGTATTTACATGATTGTCAACAAAACCCACCAACTATACTCAACAATCAGGAACATTCGCCAAAATCACCAAAAGAAAACTAGAAACCAAAAAAAAAGTCATGCGAGGACTCACAATTGAATTCCACTGGCATCTCTTCTCTTATCTGCACTAGAGAGGCTGCATCATATCAAGACAAATATCAATTAAACTCATCAAATAACTAATTTCCCCTTTTGCCAATACATCGTCATCTTCAATAGATGTATTTTATATATAACTACTAAAGCAGAATTGGGAGAGAAATAAGTACCTATCAATTTGAATCAATAAAAAAATTTCTGAACATTTTTATAATTGTCGATTGAAAATATGGAATCAAAAGAGGTTTCCTTGAATGAAAAAAAGGAATCGTAATAGGTTTCCTTGAATGGTTGGAAACTGATTAGGAAGCGGGTCTCGAAAACACTTCAGATCTCTTCATACCAATTAAATCATAATCAAACCAACCCAGATCAAGAATTAAAACTAAAAATTACCTTTCTTGGCCAGCAGTAGTGTCCCAAATCCAAGCTTTGATGACTTTGCCATCAACATTCAATCTTCTGCTAGGAAACTCAACATCACTTGTAGACTTGGATTTGAGACTAAACTCATTCGCCGCCACTGCTGCCGCTCATCACTCTTCTCCGGTCGAAGAGTGAAGACAATGCCGGCCAATCGAAGGATATGCAGAAGACTCAGGTTAGGGTTTAGAGAGAGAGAGAGAGAGAAAGGGAGGGAAGGAGGGAGGGAGAGGGGTTTGGAATCTTAAAAGATGAAAATGATTTGTTTGAGAGAGAGAGGTTTGGCATCTCAAAAGATGAAAATGATATGTTTGTGGGGGTGGATTGCTGCTGCAAGCCAGAGGGGGCAAATAAAAAAGGGTTAAAAGTTATAATGACATGTTAATTAAAAGGTGTGATTATATATTTAATTATATTTAATTAAAAAGTGAGATATGAAATAAATATTATCACATTTAATTAAATTAAGTATGATTAAAATATTGATTTAATTTTTTTTATTACATTTCTAATAAAAGTGAAATATTTTTATTTGTCAAAGTATGATCTGTAATTATTTTTGTAGTATATGCACTGTTATTATGTGCATAGTCAATGAATATACAATCCACTAACTTTGGGCCTATCCGAACCCACTTGGGTGTAGGCACGCTACTTTTGCAAGACACCTCCACATTCATAAGTATTTATATGAAGACTTGTGGCATTTCCACAACTAATGTGGAGTCTTTTCCATTTTCTTCCGAGGTATTTTATTAAGAATGTAATTGGCAGAGAGAATTGCTTCACCCCACAAGTTCTGTGGCAACTCAGAACTTATTAACATTGCATTCATCATTTCTTTTAACGTCATATTTTTCCGCTCAGCAACACCATTTGACTGAGGGGAATAAGGCGTTGTGGTATGGTGGATAATCCCAAATTCAGCACAAATCTCAGCAAACGGGGATTCATACACACCACCACAATCATTTCTTATAGCCTTGATCTTACGGCTACTATCACGCCCCAAAATTTGGACAATTAAATATTAAATTAGGACTAAAACCCAATCAATATTCTATCATCCAAATCCTAAGGGTGAAACAAAATCTAAATGTTCTCGCCTCCATAAGGTTTAAGTAAATTTCAATGCTCAAAAAAAAAAAATCAATGGATAAAAAAAATAACAAATGCCAACCAAATCAGCCATCATAAATTCATAACTATCCAATACATCCACCATTAAAGTAGCAACAAATAGTCAAAACAACTTAAATAATATAAAGTTAGAAAATTACCCACAATGCCAAATTATCAAAATACTAAGGTCATAAAAATAAATAAATAAATAAACTAATATTAACCTTAAACTCCAGAAAACAAAAGAAGTTCGAAAGATATGTCCTACAATCGTAGTTATTTCTCATTACTACCATAGTTCCAACTAATCCTGCAAAGGAAGCTCGGTTGCACTTAAACAGAAAGTACCTCAGTTGCCAAGAGACTTATGAGTACAAGATTTGACACCCACGTATCCACTAGACACAAACAAAAGTACATTTAATTCTTGTTATGAGATAAGACAAGTAGTTCCACCAACACCGAGACAAAGGGGTAGTTTCCCAAGATACGGTGACATTAATGCCTCATTTGGGAACCCTCCTTTTTAGCCAAAAAGTCAAAAAGTTACTAAATTAGCCAAAAAGTCAACAACCCATACCAAAAAGTCAAAGATTCTCTTTTCTCTCTACTTTTTGCACATCTTTTCGTAAAAAGCCAAAAAGTCATCCCAAACATACTAGTTTTTTTTAGCTCATATTTTAGCCAAATAGCCAAAAAGTTACTAAATTAGCCTGTTCCCAAACGAGGTCTTGCCCGTACACAACTAAATATAAATTGAGTATATAAAAAAAATAATGAAAATAAAAATAAATATGGTGGGTCAGCCCTGCATAAAAAGTTAGTAAGACCTACCATTATGCAAAAAAATAATAATTTAATATAATTTAATCATAAGTAAATTACTGAAGAAGTATAAAAAACAAATGCACTGTTTCATGCTTAAATCATTCGAATTGACTAAAACTCAAAGCACAAAAGTTGTACAAAATCAAATTTTCTAAAAGGAATTGCGAACGAATTTAGTAGAAACTGAACAGGTTGAGATAAAAACTTGATAGAAGAACCTAGACAGAATTTGACTGAAAAATATGAAGCTGAAAACGAAAAGCAACTGCCCTAAGATGATTTGTTTCGGAAAAGTTCAAAACACGAAAAGTGTTTAGAATAATATTTTACTTCAATTTTCGCGAAATCAATAAAAATGAGCTCATTTCGTGGGTTAAAACAGCATCTAAAATCTGCATTGTTAAATGAATAAAAACTATTGTAACCAAGATCATCTGATTACAAGTTCTAATCGATCTTTTTAGTAAAAAGTTAAAATACAAAAGTTGTTTAGAATTACATATACATGCCTCTGGCCAAATTTCGTAATTTAACGAGGTCGTTTACTATTTTTCGAGATGTACAAATCAATACAATTTAAACTATACTAATAAGTTCATATTTAATTCTTTGTACCGTAACTCCACCACTTCAACCCTTCACTTCCGGCCTACACATATATCCCATGTGCCTCCCGTATACCTAACACCATCTTTATGCCAATATAATATCAAATCAACATCAAATAAATAAAAATAAATAAATAACAACAACAAAATAAACATAAATCAAGGAAAGTGGGTTTTGCACTCACAATTATTTTTGAAGATCAAAGAATCACTTGAAGAATTAATGAAGCCACCAAAATAAAACCCTAACCCTTTCTTTCTCTCTCTCTCTCTCTCTCTCTCTCTCTAGGGTTTTCAGATTTCTCTCTCCTCCTTCCTTACCACCACCACTGCCGAAGTTCTAGAAGCCACGGCCCTTAAGAGCCTACTTTACCTGTTCAAATGTCAGGCCATTCTGGTTCAGTCATGTCGGATCGTGATCAGTCTCTGATTGTCTGCGCGGTAGAGACAGACGACGACGGGCTTGTCTCCGGCCATCAGATTAATTATATATAATTAAATATCACATTAAATTCTCATGTATCCACACAATTAATATAGCAAAAAAAAAAAGTAATAATAACAATAATAAATAATGACATAAGAAAAACTAGGGTCGCTGCAGCTTAGTTGGTTCTCAACTTAAAAAGAATAAATTTATCAATCCCTCATCTTTGCTTTAAGTAAACATACATAACAGTATTTAGTGCAATCATTAACAAAAGTAATGAAGTACTTGTTACCACGTGATTGTACGACTTTCAAGTCACACACATCACTATGCACTAAATCTAAAGGCTTGGTACTTCTTTCAATAGAATGAAATGAAATCCTTATCAATTTTGCTTCTACACAAGTTTCACACTTGTGATTTGAATTGAACTTGAAATATGGTATATAATCTAACTTAATTAATTTACGTAAAGAGTCAAAATTTACATGACCTAGTCTACCATGCCATAAATAAGGGGACTCAAGCGGAAAAAGAAGCTTTCTCATTAATTTTAGGGATAAAAGTCATTACATTGAGCTCAACACATACTGCCCGACATATACCCGTTCCCCACATAGACCCCGCTCTTGGTCAACACGACCTTATCATACTCAAGCACCATGCGGAAGCCGTACTTACTTAAGAGCGACCCCAAGACAAGGTTCTTACAAATGTCCAGCACATATAGGACATCATTCAAAGTCAGCTCTTTTCTTGAAGTCAACTTCAGGACCACCTTGCCTTTACCCTCAACAATTGAGGTCGTAAAATTTCCTATGAACAACTTCTCACCGTTTGAAACCAGTTCAAAAGTTGTGAACATCTTCTTCTCAGCACAAACATAGCGAGTGGCCCTAGTGTCCACCCATCATTCCTTTGGGTTAGACCCTACCATGTTCACTTCAAAGACGACAACTGACAAATGCATGTCATCCACATCTTGTGATAAATCCTCCATCTCAGCCATGTGAGCCCGACTTTTGTTTTGTAGAGGGTTCTTCTTATAGGGTTTTTTCTTCTTACAGCAATCAATTGCCCAATGCCCATCGCTTCCATAGTTGAAGCACTTCCCATTGAACCTAAAAGTAGGTTCCTGCGACTTGTAGACTGGCTTTTTAGAGACACCGCCTCTAGCCCGCAACTTCGAGCTTTGGCTTGCTAGTGGCTTCTTCTTCACCCCCGATGACTGGCCATGCTCAACCACGCTTCCTTTCATAGTGGAGGTACTCCCCCCCCTTCTTCATGTTGTCCTCCTCAATACGAAGCCGAATAACAAGCTCTTCGATTGTCATCTTCTTTCACTTGTGCTTCAACTAGTTTTTGAAATCTTTCCAGCCGTTAGGTAGCTTTTCAATCAAAGCAACTCAACTGCCTGGAATGATTCACTCAAAAACATTCCCTCTACATGTATCTCGTGCAGAATTACTTGGAAATCTTGGACTTTACTAATGACAGTTTTTGAGTCCACCATTTTGAAGTCCAAAAACTGGCCAACGACAAATTTCTTTGCCCCAGCATCCTCAATCTTGTACTTCTTGCCCAAAGCATTCCACAGCTCCTTTGCCAACTTCTTGGCGTAAAACACATTAAATAGTGGGTATGCCCAGCCACTCAGAACATAATTTCAGAAAAAAAAAGTCTGACTGCTTCCAAGCATGTTCTGCTTGTCTTGCTCATTCTCTTCCACGGCTGGTGGATCTTCACTCAAAAACCTCGCAAGGCTTAGAGTAGTCAAGTAGAACAGCATCTTCTGCTGCCATGTCTTGAAATTCACTCCCGTGAACTTTTTCGGGTGCTCATGATGATTGAGCGGGCCTCCCGGAACAGCAAGAGCAACAACAAGCTTAACCACAGAAGTCACAACAACCAGGTTGACTACAGAGGTCACAACAGCAGGGATTGGCAAGCTAGTTACCCCAGGGTCCTGATCC